TTTTGGGGGGGGGGGCGGAATTACACTAGGTGTTTATTTGAATATTTAAGCACCAAAATACTTTTAGAACATGGTCATTTTAGGTGAGTGGGTGAAGAAGTCACCCAACGCAATCACAAAGAGTCAAAAAGAATGATCAGCTGCTTGTTTGTAGCTGGAAATCTCCAAATGCAGACTGTAGGAGTAATGGATTGTTTTTTTGATACCCAGTGTTTGTGACAGTCATCAGTGTTTTGCAACCCAAATGATATATGAGGTTTGAAACAAAAGGTCTGTACATATACTTGAAGCTATTACTAATGTCTCATTTTTTCGAAAGGAAACTGCCACATTAAATTTGTCCTCTGAATTAGAATGTATTTAACCACTAACCCATAAAATCTGAAAAAAGTTAAATTGAAGAGGATACCATTATATCCCTGAGAAAGTAAAAGGGTGGAGGAAGGCAGGAAGATCCGTATGTGTAAGTTTGGATCAAATTTGGTAAACAGCTTGAGAAAAAAGCTGGGAGGACATTAAAAATGTCAAAATATTTCACCTTGATATTTTCTAAGTGCAACATCTTATCTTTCCATTTTGAAAATGGAAATATACCAAATATTTAAAATGGTTAAGGAATGCTCCACATTAAACAAAACATTTCATTTTGGGTTTACCTGAAACAATACTTGCACTTTAGATATCAAAGGAAAGCAAGAAAAGATGTATAGTTTTTGTTCAAGCTGAACATTTAATTTTTAAAAAATGATTATTATTGAACCAGAAAGTCCATTATTCACACAGATATAAGTGCAACTGAAAACCAATTGGAAGGTCACTCCTTATTTTGTCAAATTTGAAAGGAAACTTATTTAAATGATTCTTAAACTCTTTCCCATGCAGTTTGTAGAACCAAAATAATAGTACATTATGCAACTAATGAAGAGTCAGAAAAATGAAACTAGATGTTCCATTTTCTTTCTGCATGCTGCATGAAATGCCAAGCAGTAACCAAATACTGTATGCATACTAGAATCTGCAGTTTAAGTTTTATTTATAAAATTTGCCCAGGTAACACATCTAGTTGTTTGTAAAATAAAGATATATAGTATAGGGTTCCCTTACTTTATGTGGGTTCTGTATGTGCAATTTTGCTTATGCAATGATGCTTTTTATACAAAAAATGTGTTATATGCAAGGTAAATTCACTCTTATGTGATCCGTGTGATGGAAACCTGCAGTCAGCTCTTTGTGCAGTGCATTGTGGGAGTGACACACACCAAAATAGTCTCTGGTGTGGATCTGTGCTCCTAGCTCATTGTCTGCGACACAGATTTCTGTACTTGCCATCCACATTATGATAGTGCCATGTGCTTTGTGTCCTCTGTCTGCTGTTGGTGAGTACCAAAACTGAATTGTAAATGTGGTAGAAATGGGTCTGGGGGGTCAGCACAGTCGCAGTCTTGGAACATAGCCCTATTTGTTACACTGTAAAGTGGGGTCTGTTTGTACAAATTCAAGTTATGCACCACTTTCCAGGAATACATGGACAGCATAAAGTGAAGGAAACCTGTATATTAGATTATGTCTATAAAAGGGTTATAAAGGGATGGCTCTGTAATGTAACTTATCAAACTCAAGTTGTAATTCCAGCTTGAAAGATTTCTGCCAAACACTATTCCTGACTGGGCAGCTTCAAACACTTCTGAAGGTTCACTGTAACTGTCTTACCTTTAAGTAAAGAACTGTTGCTTTGCTTTTAGCATTTGTTGTAGTGACTTTTTTCACAATGAATTCTCTTAGTGTTCCTGGGACTGTTTGGTTTAAATCTCTAATATCTAATGAAATTATGTTTTTAAGAGGAGGCCTTCATAGTGGAGGAGCAGATCATCCTGCATTTCCCACTGAAGCTTTTTGCACTTTCCTCCAAAGCATCTGGCACTGGCCACTGTCAGACAGGACAAGAATGGAAAGCCTCCTCTTCCATTAGACACTCCACAGGAAGGTATGAAAACTTTAAAGAGCTTTATTTTATTGTGAATAATTTTCCTATGCAGGCAATTACAGACAATCAATTCACCTCCTGTTCTTTTTTCAAGATAAACTTAACAAGGTCAATCTCTCATAAGAAAGGCAGCTTTTCCAAGCTGGGAAAGTGGTTTGTTCATTTCAAGATCCCCCCCCAAACCTAAGTAGTGAAGAGCCCGTTATAACATTATCATTTCAAAATGTCACTGCATTCAAAGTCGCAGTGAAATTGATTTTTACTTTCATTCCTGAACAGTGTTTTTCTTTTGTAGGCTACCACAATGAAATTCCGGCATTCAAACTTCAGCAGGTCCACTGCTTTTTATTTTCCAACCCCTTAATCTCTCACTTCACGGGAAGTCAAAGCATCAGCATGAGAAACCAAACTACTAGGCCATATTTCTAGCTATACAGGAACTTTACAAGCAGCAAAAATTAGATGGAAAAAAATAAGAGATGTTTATCCATTATGCTTAAAATAAAAATCAGATTAGAGGATTGATGACTCAGTTCTCAAAGAGGGAAAAGCTAACGGAACACCATCCAAAACCAGGAGCTAATTCAGAATGCAACACACTCAGGCTTGCTAATCATTTGCCACAGTAAGATTCTGAAACCCATTAGAGGTATTCATTAAATACCCCAAGCAAAACCTGAAAACATACCTAGATGCAACTTGAGGACATTTTTAGATGTTTGTTCAGAGGAACACATTTTTTATTCAAGTCAAATACTGAACTGTTTATAAATTTTTGTCTAATATAGATTAAGCAAAAAGATATGCATCAGACACTTAAGATCTTCAAGTAGAGAATCACAGCCAGGGCTCCAGCAGCAGAAGCACTTAGTGCCAACCGCTCTGGGCCACTTCTTCTGACAAAGAAAGCTAGGATAGAAAAATTAAGTTCAATAGTTAGTTATGCCTCCCAAAACAGACTGTCAGTCATTTAAGATTACATATTTTAAATAATTTCATACTATTATAATGCATTCGATGGGTTTTAAATTAATCTGCAATGCAAGTTCAAAAACAGGGGCAAGCATTTTCTCCTGCTATGTATTATCAGCAGGGATCCTGGTTTTCCGTTTCCCCATGGAAAAACAGAAAAAACCACCGATTTCCCCTTTTTATCAGAGAAAACATGGCTTTTTCCTTTTAGAAGAGAAATCTATGGTTTCCCCCTTTTGCAAAGAGTTCTGCAGGCTGGCAAAGTTCCATCTTACAAGAGCTGTTTGCAAAAGTGGCAGGGACACCCTCAACCCAGCCAGGAGGGGAAGGGAGGGGGAAAGGACAGGACCGGACACTCGCACTTACTGGAGGATGCTTCAGGCTCACTATTCTTGCTGGAGGTAAGTGGGGCTTGGGGGTTGTGGGACAGGGCTGGTGGGGAAGCTGGCTACAGGCTAAAACAGCAGGGAGGTTTGCAGCCAGCCAGGCACTCCAGCCAGGAGAGGGTTTGCAGCCTCCCCACTCCCAGCTGGAGTGCTCAGTGGGATGGAAAACCCCGCTCCTGGACAGCTGCAGACAGACCTCTCTGCTTTCTCAGCCCCCAGCCAGCTTGGGCACTCCCAGGCCAGGATGGGGCGGGGGGGG